GGGGGGGGGGGGGGGGGGGGGGGGTGACCCTGGTGCATGATGTGAGAGATACCTGACGAAGCATATTGAAGATGGCGACCCAGCTGTTTCCCCCCCCACATGATGAATTCTGGGTCACCTGAGGAGATGTGACCCTGGCAGCTAAATCCTGATGCCGTCTGAGGTTGGATGGCCTCGTCTTATTAGTGGGTGGTTTGTTGCTGCGAGGGAAACAAAGTACTCAGATCCTTTACTTAGGTAGAAGTAGTAATGACACAATGTGAAGTATACTCTGTCACGAGTTTATGATCTGGGTTAAAAAGCTTGTTTAAGGAGAGACGCCCTACGTGGATAGGGAAAAAACAACTAATAGATATCAGCAATGGAACTTCCCCCTTTGATTACTTACATTAAGACAAATATTTATTTAATAAAAAAAAAAATCATGTATGTGCTTCCATTCATTTTCAAGACACTATACAGGTGAATGGGGGAAACATGTATTTAATATATATCACAATAAACTTCCCCAGTTGATTACTTACATTGAGACAATTGTTGTTTTTTTTATTACAAGTGTTCTGAATTCTCAGTTTTAATACACAAATGAGACATTATCTAATGCTAACTTTTGGTGAAATGAGGAGAAATCTACAGACGCAAACAGACAAAGTGCAGTGAAATAAACACCTAAATGTGTATTTTGGTTGTTTTCTTTCCACTAGACTGAAAGAAGACACTCAGAAATGACCAGTGCATGAAAAAAACTATGTTTTTGCATTGGATGTCTGGCCTTATGTAATGGTACAAAAGTATTATCAGCTAAATGTACTTATAGAAAAAAAGTAGAATGGCCCCTGTGTTTAATCACAATCCTTCATAAACTGATGATGTGATTTCTATGTCAAATCTGCAAAGTAAATGTAGCTGTGAGATAAATGTAGTGGAGTAAAAACAGGACAATGTTTCTCTGTGAGATGTAGCAGTGTAGAAGTATAAAGTACCATAAAATGGAGACACTCAAGTAGTGTACAAGTTACTTAAAGTTGCACTTGAGTAAATGTTCTGTAACTTTCCACCACCTGACCTCAAACATTGCACTATACTTTGCATATTGTGTGCGTAACTACTCTGAAGAGAAGTGGGTCCAAAGTGGCACGTTACACTCCTCGTCTCTCCCTTCAATATAAATAGAATACAGCTCGGCTCCGCCATCAGTGCAAATAGTATCAGTGGAACAATAAGCTCGGCAT